CCCCTAAGAGACGACAAAAAAAATAACCGATTACAATGTTTAGTTTATTGATTGTCCCAGTATTAGTTCTTACACTTAAAATGCCCCTATGCAATGTAGTTAGCCAGAAAATCTCATTATTTGTCTGGTGAACTATTGCTTTGGCACCATACATATGTAAGATATTAGAAATACGTGCAACGTTGTCATGAGGTTTTCATTTGTATTGGAGTTGGATGTTGATGGTTAATCATGTACAATGAAGACAAGAGAAAGGTAAATAAACTCCTTAAAAAAAGATTTTTTTAAAACAACGATTTTATTAACAACTTCGTTTAACTCACGGTCGAGAAGTACGTCAATGATGCAGGCGCCTGCTCCCACATCGCCGCTTAATTTAATTAATTGATCACTTCCGTTACTCGTTCACACGGAGCAGGCGATTCGAGAAGTTTAGGGACCGCGGCGTTTTTTACCTACACAAATATATATAAATAATGAGACATCCATACAAAATGTAAATTTTTTAAAGTAGCGAATTCATTGATTCATTGATGCCGATTTTGATACAGGCATGCATTGTCACCGGATCTGAGTACGTGCGCAACATTTAGAATTGATTGGACAATAGGAAGTGGACTACATTTTGATTACAAGATTTGACCACGACAAACATAGGAGTCAAGTTAAATAAAACCGTTGAAAAAGCAGTTTAATCACAGGTCACTTTAAATCCTGTGTAAGCTGTCAGTGCTAAATTCACTGAAATTCCTAATGTCATGATAACCTTTAGTTCACGATGTATAGACACAAAATGCATGGACCGCATTGGTATAATTTGCACGGATATATGTTGTTTCAAATAAGTCCATAAAAATCTCTATTTGATTGTAGGGAAACACTTTGAAATATGTTTTAAAAGCAATCAGAGCCTTCAAACAATTAAGATGGTACAACCTATAACAAGAAAAAAATATTTGTTTAACTCATGTAAATTCGCATTTTTTATTGACTCCAACTCACACTGAAAAATAAACTCTAAAATAGACCTCTACACACAGCACATCAATCAAAAGTGATACTGTTAAAACGTTCACTTGGTATTATATGCACAGTTGCAAGCCCCCAGAGAATTAAAATAGAACTACCACATGCCCTGAATGTACTACAGGGTGGCCTAAAAGTGAGGACACTTAGGGTTACTGTATTTATTTTAACAAATCACATAGGGTTATTTAATTTACGTTAAAAAAAGTTCAAACTGACTTCCATGAACATAAATGGATGCATGAGTTCTGTTTTGAAATGAATTTGGACTCTTTGTTTAAGATTACTAGTGTAATCTTTGAACATTCATCAATTATGTTTTGTTTTAATTAATTCAGGGTTCTTAGTCGAGTTTTGCAAATGACGGATTTGAGGTGAGCTCATAGAAATAATAATGGTAATAGATCAAATATTAACTTATATGTTAAAATGAATGAAATCACCCTATGTGTTCTGACGTTTATGGTGTGAATACAAGGCTATATTTGAACATCTTAGACTACTTAATTCATTTGAGATGCTACATAGATTTTATACCCATTTCTTTCATCTACTTAAACAACATTCATCATTTATTTGCGTACCTTTGTCAATACACTGTTGGATGAAGGCCTCCCCATGTCGTGTTGCACATGCGTTTTGTTTGACCGTACTTCACCACCCTGGTAAGTGCAGGTTAGTATAGGGGGTGATCTAAGAATGGTTCAGATGTCACTTTACACTATTTGGCAATTGCCAGGAATAAAACTGGGATAGATGAATTCAGAGTGCAACGTGCTAACCACGTCACCACTTCCCCATTAATTTATCTATCTAATGTTTAATGTCTTTTGTTTTAGACACGGTTTTAAGTGTGAGATAGAGACAGTGACATGTTTAATGAGATTTAGGATAAGATGATACTTAAACATTAATAAACTGATTTAATCCAAATTATTAAAAAAATGGTTCCCTGGATTGTCTTCACTTATACTTTAGGGTTGATGTAAAGTTCTAACCTTTTTGGTCTCATGCTAAACACTCTAAATATACTATCTTCTATTCTTCGGGTCTTTCGGTAAAATCACGGAGATAGGTTAAAAGAAAATAACAAAAATTAAATAAAAACAACGACGTTTCGATCACAACACAAGCGATTGTCATCAGGAGGAAAGTAGGAGTGGGAAAGCTCCTGAGGCAGACTGTTTTAAAGGTTTAAAAAGGGTGTAGCCCAAGGGTCATAAACGAAGTGGGGCTCGTGATGTTAATGTGATAAATGAGCATGTTAATGGGAGATTGGAGAGCGGTCTCCATGACGCAGGTCGCGTAGGTAGTTATGTTAATTGTGAAAGATTAGCATGTTAGTGCGAGAGGTTAGCATGTTAATCTGAGAGATTAGCATGTTAATGTGAGAGATTAGCATGTTAGTGCGAGAGGTTAGCATGTTAATGTGAGATATGAGCATGTCAATGTGAGAGATGAGCATGTTAATGTGAGAGATTAGCATGTTAATGGGAGAGATGAGCGTGTTAATGTGAGAGATTAGCATGTTAATGTGAGAGATTAGCATGTTAATGGGGGGAGATTAGCATGTTAATGTGAGATATGAGCATGTCAATGTGAGAGATGAGCATGTCAATGTGAGAGATGAGCATGTTAATGGGAGAGATGAGCGTGTTAATGTGAGAGGTGAGGATGTTAATGTGAGAGATTAGCACGTCAATGTGAGAGAATAGCATGTTAATGTGAGAGATTAGCATGTTAATGGGAGATATGAGCGTGTTAATGTGAGAGATTATCATGTTAATGGGATGTCGCAGAGCAGCAACGTCGAGCGAGAGGTGGCTGTGTTAGTGTGGGAAATTGAACCTCCAAAATCATGGTGAGTCTCTCTCTGCTTGTGTGCCTGTCTGTGTGTTTTGTCTCTCTCTCTCTCTCAAATTTAGCAATCTTTGGAGGAACGTAATCAACTAGGCGGGGTGTTAACTTGTGTTGGCCGACTCTCTCCAAGTTTACCATGTTTTCTCATTCATTTGTACCTGATGATGGTTGCTTGTGTTGCAATCGAAACGTCGTAGTCTATGATTATTTAATTTCTTTCTACGTGACTTTACCGAAAGAACCAAAGAACAATTCCTGCATTCACGAAAGCTTCGAATCTAGTTTGTTATTTTTTGCTATTTTCTTTAAACCTATCTACGTGACTTTACCGAAAGACCCAAAGAATATGAATTCCCGCAGTCACGAAAGCTTTAAGTCAAGATTTATACTTCTCCTATACCATTGAACTAAATTATTCACCTCCGACAGTGTGCGATTTTAAAGGCAAGAGCAGATTAAACCTGCCAGTGGTTACGAGTATGAAAGGCATTTTTTCTACGTCTAAGCATTGCCTTGACCACGTTGGTGCCAAATTTCAATTTTTTCTTATCGGACAACAATAGTCGAGCCAGCAGTTTCTCAGCAACAAACGTCTGTGTGTGTGTGTGTATAATGTTGATGTGATTTGGATAAGCAACAAAATTAGATTTTGTTCTCTTAGGAACCTTGTCTGTTGCTTTATAAACCTTCCAAATTTACTGAAAATAGTTTTGCTGAAATACACTTTGATTGTCACTTATATTTTTACATTCAGAATTTATGGCACTGTAATCTGCTCACAATGAAATGGAATATATATTTTCACTCGTAATTTGTCTTAATGTTTTTGTATTTTTCTAAAATTCTATCCCCATTGTGCATTTGGTGGCATGTCATGAGACAAATATTCCATTGAATTATCTCACAGAGCAGTGCAACCCCTTAGAGAAGAGCCATAGAAGCAGATATCAAGCAAGAGCTACTTACATCCCTTCAAGTGACCTCTGGTCCACAGTAAGGGCCAACACTTATCCACTGGCCCTGCCAGATTCCAGTAATGTTAGTCGTATGACAGTTAAACGCGTATTTTAATAACCCGGGCTGGAATTTATCCATATCAAGTGCATATGCAAATAATACATTCAAAACCACGTGTTTGTTGCTCTTATCTGCCCCTGTCACTGCCTCTAGTGTGAGGTCCAGGGCCACAATGTCCAGGCCTGTGTTTATCAGCCATCTCCTTAAGTCTCTGATATCTGTGTTCGCAGCGTGTCAGTGACCTCTTATGAAAACCAGATTTACCATAAGTACAAAAATCCAGTTTTAATGTGCTGGTGTTTTTTTTGTTTTGTGTGTGCAGTCATTGGCCACTGGGCTGAGACGCTTCAGAGCCATGTGTGATAACTGCCTGGATTCAAACCCACGATCTCGTCGGTGCCAGCTTAGTGCCCTTACCTCTAAACCACCCAGCCACCTCTATTTTTATCTCTTTTTTTATCTTCCTAACCATCATTAGGCATCACTTGTCTGCTATTGCATAAAGGCAACCCCACAAATAATTAACTGGTTCATTATTACCACCTTCTGTTCAGTTATCATGCAGATTTGCTCTGCTTCCCGGATACTCTTGCTATGCTATGTCTGTAAATCTATTTTGCCAGTCCCTTTTGTGAGATGTCTTTGGTTAATTGATTATCTTTGTAATGAGTACTTTGCCCTCCGCCCCCCCCCCCCCATTTGTTCTCTGATCCACAATGTTGCTTGTCTGTTAGAATCCTTGTCTGTTAGAATCCTTTTGTCATTGCGCTGGGATTTGGAAGGTGAATGACACACAAAAATAGAGCGTTCATTCGACATTTATTTTACCAATAACATTGTCTCGGTTGAGGTTATTTTAGTTTATTAAGTACAGAAGTTCAGTGGAAACTAAAGCAATAAATAAGGAACAATGTAAAGCAACAAATGCAGCTTGGCATGCAGTGTTTGTTTGAAATAACTCAATTTTTTAAGAAAACAAAAAATATTACCAATAAGGAGAGGGGGTGAATGGATTCCGGCGATGAAGTGTTGCACGAGCGGATCTGGAACTTAGACGTTTGAAATGCGAACCTGTGTTTTTTTTTCTCTCTGTCCAGGTGTGGCCCATCAGTCGTGAGATCAACTGCCAGTGCTTAAGAACCCTGTCTGTGAGTGACGACCACACCATCTGCCTGCAGCCTCAGTTGCACTGCGATGGGCGCACGATCATGTGCGCCTCTGACCTCGGAGTCATCCAGTGGGATTTCTCCAACTACCAGCGGCTCAGGTGAGTGCCACCTTCTCACTTACACACCCCCCCCCACCATCTTCAAGACTAGTCTTGAGAGTCGAGGAAGCTTTGAGGACGAACTTATTATTTATACCTTTTTTCTTTTCTTGGCATGTCTGTTTTTTTTGTCACCTTGAGCAAACTTATTGCACGTTCACCTGTTTTCAGCTGCTTTCGTGGCCGAATTATACTTTTACATATTACTGATGCCAGACGCAAAGGCGGCTGAGTGCAGGTCGGAGTGCTTTTGTCAAGGTGAACTCGATAATGAAATGCAACATGCCAATGTGTCTTAAAGAAGACAGTTTTTAATCAGTGCATACTACATATGGTTAAAAAACATGGTCGTGAACATGATTTTTTTTTTTACAAAAATTCAACCGTGCAAATGCATGTTTACGTATTTACGTTGACTATGTTTTGCACTATACATAGCCAACCGTGCTAATCAAGCTTGCATGGAGAGATGCATGCTAGAAATTGCATTGAGGGAGCACACAGATTTTAGAACATATGCAGGTTAAAGACATCATTCAAACAGTTAAGAATAGTAAGCGAGTTGGGCAGTGTACATGTTGCTTAAAGTTATAATGGCCGATGGTCAAGAATAATGATGGTGTGCCAGCCAAGAAACAGAACGCTTCCGAAAGAACTTACACCAAATAGCAGGAGCTCTGGATCAGTTCATGTGCATTTGTTTGCGTGATTATCGCGTTGCGGGATCAAGAGATATAGCGGCAGCTTGTGGAGGCCTTCATCAAACAGTAGATTTACCAAGGCTAATCGTGATTATGACGATTGTTTTCAAGTGCTCTGCAGCACTGCCCGTAACAAATTCCACGCTGTTCACCCGTTCTCTGCGCCTCGACAGGGTGATGAAATGTGGCGATGCACCGCCGATGTCGCTGCTGCGCTTTGGCGAGACGTTCGCACTGCTGCTGGATCAGCGGAGCCTGTGCGTGGTGGACGTGCGCTCGGAGCGCTGTGTGGGCACGTGGCCGCTGCCCTCGTACCGCCGCTCCAAGCGGGGCTCGAGCTTCCTGGCCGGCGAGGCCGAGTGGCTGCACGGCTTCGGCGGCGGCAACGACCGGGGTCTGGTGTTTGCCACCAGCATGCCGGACCACAGCATCCACCTGGTGTTTTGGAAGGGTGACGGTTGAGCGCCGGGAAGCAGTGCAGAGTAAGGAAGTGCGAGCGGTGGCTGGCAGTGGGGGGGGAGAGCCATCGGTTTATATCGGCAGTCTCCAGCGCAAGCTCTCAACGGCAATGGGGGGGGGGGTAACCCCTGAAAGGGCTATGGCCGTGTGATGTTGACAGAAGAGTAAGGCAGTTAATCCTCTTAAAAGTAAGGCAGTTAATGTTTTAATAAGCTGACCATACACACCCCTCATGCTCCTTTTAGTAAGCTCAATTATAGCCTGGGGTTCCATATTAAACAAAAGCCATTTGTGCACGTGTGTATGTGTATTATATACGCGCGCACACACACACACAACTATAGCTGTGACTGCTTTTAAATTTATGCGTAATATTAGCATGACCATGTTCACCCTCGTCATAACTGATAACAGCACTCTGCTGATATTTTGCCAATAAGTGAGAAGAGGAAGAATGTTGAGGAAGCCAGTTTGCACGACATGGTGCATAAGAGCTGTGCAAGTGGTGCTCTTGTCTGTAAGAGTCTAGAAAAGGCCACTGTACTCTCTGCATGGGTCACAAGCTTATAATCTGCTGGAAGGCTCGCTGCATCAATATTGCAACAAAGGGTGCTGACTTTAGCACAGAGCCAAGCTCGTCGATGGTGCTTCATAATGACGGAACACATTTTAACTTTATTTTCTCCAGTCATTGCGGCGCCAGCTTCATAGCCAAGCCCTGTTTGACCGAGGATTGCATCATTCTGGTCTTTGCAAGTAAGGCAACAAAAATGAAAAAAAAAGTATTGGCTTTCTTTCATTGCGTCCGTGTCTTTTTTAATTTAATATATTTTTTATATATGTATATTTAATAGCTCGATAACAATAAAATAAATTGTACAGTTTATACGGAGTTTATGAGCCAAATAAATATGGTTATTGGCCTGTGGCTAACTGGAAGGCATCAAGTGTCACGACTGAGTGAGCCTCTGCATTGCTGCACAGGGCATATTGATGTGCAAAGTCACCGAGTGGGGAATCTGGGGAGATTTGGTTTGTTTCCCACCCACCCAAGCGGTCAACATTTGCATGAAGCACACCTTGATGCAGACGGGAAAGCAAGATACTCACTAGTACGTGCCAGTATCAGTCACACCTTAATAACTGTTTTGGCTGTTACTTCTCTATATCAGTCTATATAAAGGCTGGCTGTAATGTTGATTAATTTATTTTTGAGCATCTCATTTATTTGACACTGTTCACGATCCATCATTTTTTTATTTCACTCTATACTTTTGGTTGCAGCTGGGCGGAGAGTACCGTAGTTGTTTTGCTGCTGTTGAGTGGGTTTATTTTTCAACACCTTTTCCATTAATAATAACACATCTTAAGAATGTCTTGCGGAAACATATTTATGCCTTTAACCGTTAAAGCCCTACTAGACCAGAAGACATGCAGGAGGTCACAGCTTTTACAGTTTCAAGGAGAATGCTGCAGATATAATCTGTTAATTGTTCAATCGAAAGTTCCTGAATTGTCAGCGTTATGTAATATAAAACTTGAACACCTGTACAAATAAATGAAAGTCTACTATAGTTTTCTGTTTGTTTTTGATTTATTGATTTAAATGTCATTTTTTGCTTGCCATTCTATAGCCTGCCAACATATTTTGTCAGATGCTTTTTCCTGGGAACGTTTGAAATGTATAGTCTTAAATATTTCACCAATGTTAAAGGATAAACACCAAAATAAAGCTAAACGATTATATTTTTATCATGCTCAATTTCATTTTTTTGTTTGCAAATTAACTCAGTTTCTGTAGATGCGCATTGTAAAGAAATATAGACGCACCATTCATCGGGTAATCCAACAAAATATGAATGTATTTAAGAATGTTGTGTTACTCTTGGTTTTTTCCCCAATGAATAAAATATATTCATAGTTTTGACAATCTCAAATATGAAATGGTTTTTGCCAAGAATATTACTGGTGTACATTCAGAAAATTATCTGCACTCTGAGATAAATTCACTTATTTTTTCCTGCTTTCACCATCACCTTTTCTGTGCTGCACTCATTTCACGGCCTATACACATTTGTGCTTTGTTATCTGAGTGTAGTTTATCTCTCCTGTGCTAAACATGAACAAGGGTAATCGTGTTGGCCTCTCTCTGCTGCAGTATGTAAACATTACTAATGGCAATGCATGCACGCTTTTTTTTTACTCTTGGCCAAATCGGCAATCCTGAAGGTTTTGTGCTGGCAGTCTGCTAGTAGCCTGAAAATTCTGTTTGGTGATGACCTGGCAGTTAGTTAGTAGTGGGGGGTGTAAAATCTGTCTAATATCCGCAGTGAGGTTGCAACTGTGATTGCATTACTTTTATAGGAGTTTAAAAATCACTGTTATGCTTTCCCCGTCTCTGCACATGGCTACTTTTGTTGAGATACGCTTGAGGATGCTGCTGGTGCTGCGGTGTAACGGTTAGTACTCAGGACTTGTCGCCGGTTCTGTCTGGCGCAGCAGCTGAAACAATTTGCGAGTTTCTTACATCAACCCACCTTTGACCACCCAACAGTATTTTGGGTACAGCGCAGTTGATCAGCAGATTGTGTGTGATATGGCAAAGTGTGGGTTATCGTATCTCTTCCAAGTTGTCCGGCCAGCATGGAAGAGTAGGCCAGATACCCTTTATAGGGTCTCTATCTCCCTCAAGTGGAAGCCCTTCTGCCAGCATTGGCGTGAGCAATACATTTATAGCGCTGTACATCATCTAAAAGTTTATCTGATGTCCATTCAGTCGTGCGTGTTTCCTGAATGTAATGTTGAAAACAAGACTGGTCTCGTGCATGCATGTTGCTTGTTTTAGCCGTTGCTGTAAAGTGCTGAATGAACTATTGGGCACAATGCAACGTAACAGCTTGGAGGCTCGTAAGAAAGTGAGGGGGGTGGGACTACAGCCCCTCTTAACTCGGCAAATGCAGGTCAGCTTCAAACGCTATGTATTGTTGTGCGTCTTTAACCTGATCATTCATTTTACAGAAAGCAGACGATCTGGAACTGAGATGAAATACATCTGAAAGCTCAAGTTGGCTTGCAATGTAGTTTAAAGTAGTTGTGTGTGGCCAAGAGTTGAGAGAGATTTAAAACTAGTCACGAGTTTTATCGTGCCTTTTTCATGTTGAAAAATGCACTGTTACATTTGCTTTTAAAGCTAGGATTCTTATGTTTTACAGGTATTTGAGTACTGAAAGCAAATTAATCCAGAACTTCCTTGTAGTAATACATTTAATGATAACATGCTTATTACTAAACACTGCAGTTTATCTTTAGAACGCATCACTAAATGTGTGTATTCATGTACTATGTACAATTTACTGTGTATCTTACACTGATAAAACATTTGTTTAGCGGTATAAGTTGGGATAAATGCTTACATCGTAAGCGTTTCTTGAGCAATTTAGCATATCTAAACCTATTTCTGTGTTTTTAAGTTGAATGTCATTTTGTCACTGACAATTTTTGGCATTATTTATGTACCTGACGTTGTACACTGCGGTCTTAGATATTCAAAAAGTAATCCTAATTGTAAGCATTTTTTGTCAAACAGAATTGTTCTGGGGCTCTTTATGGCTTCCGAGAATATCAAAATGACTCATGGTTAACAAGGATAAACTGAGCGTCTCTTCATCCACTAGCGCTGTGCTGTGACTGTCCCTTGTGCAACCTGTTCCTCATTAATAAACCACTCCTCTCCTGTTCCATACCCTTTATATGGTGCGGTCCTTTTAAGTGTTAATTAAAATCCTGTTTCTGAAGCAGTGCCATAATGCAGCTGGGTTTTTAAACTAATGTTTGGCTTCAGAGGTTGGCAGAGCCATTATTTTTCATAATCTTTCTTCCTTTTACTCAATGATATTTATGATATTATTACTGGCTGGTCTACCTGATTTGTGGATGTTGGTAAATTGGGTAGGATGGTAGATAAAAATGAGCAAATGTGGAAAGGGATTTTGAAAATCTTATTGATTGCCCATATATTGAAGGATGTTACCTAGTGATCAAGTACAAAATGTGGCATGTTGATTCCAGAAACTTGAATAACCTCTAGTATGAACATGGCTCAGTGAAAATGTACCTCCGGTAGGCAATTAACACGAACATTCATTTCTAAGACGCACAGAAATTGTATATTTCTGTCTTCATTGCCTAATAAATTACAGGATACCTGTAATGCATAAGCCCAGACAATGATTCGAGTGAATTTTCACATTACAGTAATTATAGTTCCAAATAGGTAGTTAGGTTTTTGCCTTTCTGTAGCTATGATCTACTAAAAGCTCTGTTTTTTACCGGGGTTTTTTCACTGCGTATATATAAGTTTCTGAAAATACTGTGACTACCAGACACGTTATAAAATGAGAGCGATTCCAAAAAAGTATGGCCCCTTCACTCGTCACATAAAGGGTTGTTAACGCATCCACACGTCAGCAGGCAGGGTATCTCCTCCAAAGAACGGCACTTTTATTTGTCAATGTTCACGCAGCACGTTACCATCAAGGGATACCACTGTGCGTGGCCTGGTATTCTCAGGTGACCAAACTGATCCTTTCACGTACCCAGCCGGCCAAACAATTGGACACAAGTCGCACGGCTGGAGTGGATAGGTCAAAGGCCCTTTGGCAAAGCGGCTCCCAGAAGCTTAGTCGATTATGGTGGTAACCTCGATGGTTTCAACAAAACGTATGTGTGTGATGCGGATGCGGGATGGAGCAAAAACAAGGTTATCATGTCTAGAAATGAATCGATTGGCGGTGACCCGGGTCACCATCGTGGCACCAAAACCTCCATAACTCCGAAACCAGAAGGCCTATGAAGACGGGAGATGTCACTGAGCCCGATACGCACGCCAAATATGGAAATAAAAAAACACGCAAAACACGCATAAACAAGGGGGGCTGCTGAGGATTTGTGCGTGGGAACGACTGTTTATTGCTTGTTGTGAAAGTACATCAGGATGCTGGTCTGGTCATTCCCCAGCACGTTCTGCTTCTTACGGGGGCGGCCACCCCCCTTGTCTTTGGGAGCGAGACCACTTGGAGGCAATGGCGCACCAGGCGCTCTCTTGGTACGGGCGGCGGTCACGGTCGTGCTGGCGGGATCGACATCGTGGTCGTCCTCATCGCTCCCAGCGTCGCCGTCCGGCAGGACAGGGTGGTAGTACCAGCGATGCTCCCAGAAAAAACACCTTAAACTATGCCCCAGCCCCCAATATTTTGCGGTGACCCAGGCTACCGCCAATCGATTCAAATGTTGCAAATGTAACAAGCGCAGCCTGGTAGAGATATGAATTGAATGTGCATTTGCAGTGTTACATTTGTAATTGTTAAACGAAAAGTGAATTTTTCGATTTAAAACTTTCGTGACTGCAGGGATTAATCTGCTTGGTTCTTTCGGTAATTGTTATTTCCCTTCTTTGTGACTTTACCGAAAGAACCAAGAAGATGAAAAGTGCATTCATTTAGTTAATCAGAATGGGTATTGGTGAGGTCTGGTCTTTGTAAATAAAGCACGATATAGAATAAATGGTGAAAATGTTTATTTTGTATGGTATATAAAGGATAGATGCAAGTGTTTTTTTTTAAATACACTTTTAATTTATTTTACTTTGGGTCTTTCGGTAAAGTCACGTAGAACAACAACAAAATGTTCTACGTGACTTTACCGAAAGACCCCAAAAATATTAATTACTGCAGTCACGAAAGCTTCATTGCTTGTTGCAAGACAGGTATCGTGACAATGTTTATTCCCCTCGAACCCATGTGAAATACATTATTTATTCGGCATTATTAAATCATGATTTTAAATAGGCCGCTAAACAAGTGCTGTAAAAAAAATGACGATCCACTTGATATTTTTATGCCACTAAAGTTTCAGAATGTTTCACTTTACACACCGAGGTTAAAGGTGCTTGCTGCACGTGTTCTGGCAATGAAAATCATGGAAGAGAGAAGCTAAATTCATAAAGGGATGAACCACGAAAGGCTGGATGCCTTTTCCCGATTATACAACTCATTTTGCTCGTATGCGTGCGTGTTCAGCAGCAGAATCCATTCGGGAATAAGGCAGTATAACTTGTTATATAAAAGGGCAGCCTTTATAACATTAAAAGCAAGGATTGGATTTAATGTTTAAGAATTGTGCCCCTGTGAGGTAAAAGGTTGACTATAAATTAACAAGGACGGGAGAAGACGCTACCTAAAATCACGCTAAACAAGGACGCGTGGGATGGTGGCTGCCCTTTAATGAGCTGCACATCAGACAGGCAGACACGGTATGCACGGATGTCCCGTGGCATTATCTTGTAACGCTAACATTTCAACCGCAATACAGCAATTACTCTACTAATGTTGCCAAAAAATATATATATTTTTACAATTCAAGTTGTCGCCTTGCGGTGTTGGTCACTTTGCAATGCTCGAAACTCAAACACAAAGCATCAAGAGCAGCAGCAGCACATTCTCCTCCGACCTCGAGAACACGGCGAACTGATTTTGCTGTTGGAATCCCCTAGAAATCAACAGTGACAGCCTTTAACCCGGATGATACCCTCCCCCCCCCGAATGAATCACGAAATGTCACTACCACCTTAGACCAAAAAAAAATCAGCCTCGCTTTCAGCAGCCTCCCCTTCAGAAGTTGCCTCGAAAAAAGGCAGTGAAAATAGGAAAATTTCCTGTGGGCCTTGTCTGAAAACTAGTCATGGCAACGTGAGGCAGTGGAGCCCACTCACCACAGATATTGGCGCTCGTCCACCAGCCAGCCGATCACTGCTCTCTGCTGTGTTGGGGCAGCCCTCCACACGAGATCTCTCCACGCTAGCTCAACGTCGAAATCCGCCTTCTGTGTATGGGAGTTTAAACATGACACCTGTAAAATGGTTCAGGAACACCTTGTCCAATCCAACTGGGGGCAGGGGTGGGGAGGGAGAAATTCCTGAACGGGGCCTCATTTCGCGCTGAGGCATGATGGGACAGCTTCGATGGTGCAGCACGAACATCCCGAACGAGAGCCTCCGTCACCGACTCCCACTTCTTGGATTCGAGAGCAGTGCTCCACCATTCGCCACAACCGAAGATTTGAATGGTCGATGCGGTCATCGTCTGCACGAGTAGACAATGAAAGGCGACCTGCGGATCCTAAATCCAACCAGGGGACCGACTGCATTGACAATTCCCCCGCTACCCCTATTCATGGTCGACATCACAGACATCCACAACATCACCGGTCAGCCATCGCGTGGCTCAACAACGTCGACATGATCACCATCCTCCACCACCACCGCGATTCTAAGGCGCTCCATTCAGCGCCATTGCATTCTGATATTTGGACAATGAACACTCGCAAATCGAAGGGCAGAATAATGAAGTGGGTTTAGTCTCTTTAGTGTTTCATGAGCTGATCTGTGAGCAGTGCCACAGTAGTCGAACAGTGGTAGATTGATAGCTTCTACAATGTGCAGGCGCTATCGAATGGGGGAAAAAAAGTTTGTTTCTGTATATATATAAAAAAAACTTATTTTTGATTAGAGTTTCGTTGAGATGCCATCAATATTGGGTTGGAATGTAAGTTTGGAATCAATCAGTAAACCACTCTGTTCAATGATGTTGTTTCTGATATCCGTAATAGATGAATGGAATTAAACTGGATTTTTTGTTTAAGCTGCACGCTTTTATTTTGTGATCCAGGTCAATGTACCTCACAGGACGAGGAGCTTACCCTTGATTTGTTTTTCTGTCCCTTGTGTTGTGCGCACACGCGAATACTCAATACTTGTTTTCACTGTTGGTATGAATTAATCATATCCTTTGGCTGTACGTTTTTGTTAGCGCGGCATGCACCGAATAGCACGTTTATCATCACTGCAATCTCTTTGTCCTCGAACCCTGTCTGTCTCCTCTTTGTTTGTCTCTATCTCTCGTGCTGTCTTTCGTTCCGTCTCCCTGACTGTCTTTTTATTCGTCTCTGTGTCTCCATATATTTTTACGTCTGGTCTGTGTCTATCGCTCTCCTATTTCCTTCTTTTCCCTCTCCCTCCATCTGTAGCCCCTGTGTTTCTCTGTCTCTCTATCTCCCTCTGTCTCTTTGTCTCTCAGGCACCTTGTCCTGTCCTGCTTTGTCTCTTGATGTATCCACCTACCTCTATCTCATCTCTGTTTCTCTCTCGTCTCTGTCTTATATCCCTCCGTCTCCACTCCCGCACACACCACGTGCTTACAAGGTGAGAGGTTTTTTTGTTGCAGCTCCTTTCCCCTGCACTCCCATCTTTTCTTCCAACAGCATGTTTATGTGGCCCATGGTGAGTCATTTTTTTTCTTCCCTAGATTTGGCCAGAGACTAAAGGACAGCTTGAATTTTGCCAGCATTTGAAGCCGATATATTTGGCACATCCCTGGTTTAAACAGGAGCCCGCGGAGCGGTTTTGTTTATTTCTGTTACGAAGACTTTTCCCATCATTTACAGAATTGATCTTTGGAACAGTGCAGGATATTTTGCATATACGTTCAGTATGTTAGCTTGTTTGGACTGAGGCTTGGCTGACTTGAAGGCGTTAACCTTCAAGCAGAATAGAGGCCGACCGAAATTCGGTTTCGGTTTCGGCGCCGAAAGTTGGTAAATGGCCTCTTTCGGCATAGTTTATGTTTCGGCCGAAGCCAAAAAGTTAACTTTCGGTTTACTTTCGCCTTCGGCCGAAAGTCAATTT